GGCCTGAGGGGAGCAAACATGGTGACCAGGCCTGAGGGGAGCAAACATGGCGGCCAAGCCTGAGGGGAACAAACATGGCGGCCAAGCCTGAGGGGAACGAACATGGTGGTCGCACCTGAGGGGAGCAAACATGGTGGCCGTGCCTGAGGGGACACCACTGTGTAAATCACCCTCAGCTGCCATGGCCAGACCTGCACCCACAGCCCGTGGAGCTCACCCCACACGAGCATGGCTGCCCACTCCCCTGCCCCTCTATAAGCACCCTGGGTTTCAGGCTGTGTGCTGCTATAAAGCAAAGCACGCCAGCTCCCACAGCTGCCTCTGAACTGCCACAAAAAGCAGATGAGCTGTGAGGGAGGACACTCCCCTTCAGGTGAATGAAAGTCCTGTGTGTCCCCTGCCTGGTTGTGAACACCTCTGTTGGATTCATCACATTGGGGGTTACCTGAAGTGCTGCCGCTGTTTGCTTGATAAAAAGCTTTTACCAGATGCTGGCCAACTCAAGAAAGTCTATTTATATGTTATTCAAAATAATCCTGTAACAAATGTAGTTTTATCTGTGTTCCAATAGCAGAAAAAGCATTTAACTTGAACACATCAACAGCAGAAGTAATATGAAAGGATCAAGCTTTCTTGAAAGATCATGGTTTCTAATTATTTTAGAAAGAAGGAACTCCAGGAAATAGCTGACTCTTCCTAGTAATTGTGAGAAATTTGGGCTTTTTAGGGGCAGGTGCAGATGCTGTATGATTCTATGAAATCTGCATGTCTCTACCAATTTTTTCCCAGTGTTAATGGCTGCAGGTAGCCAGGAAGGTGCACAGTCATATCATGCAATACTTCAGAACTTCACGTTCTTTGCATTTTTTACATTAATCTTCTGAGTTATTCCACCAAGCAATATGTGAAACTAGGCAAAATGTAAAAGCTGTGCTGGATCATGAGCTGTTATATTTATATTATTCTATTTAATATCATTTAATTACTAGAAGCAAATTACCCCCCTCTCAAAACCTCACTGCTTAGAAAGGAATACAATTACAGAATGTTTATGCAGGGGTTCTAAAGTGAATGGCAAAGACTTTATCCCTTAAGTATGAATGCCTGCATACAATCTGAATACTTCTCTGGGAAGGCTTTAACTGCACACTGATAACAGGGAGTCTTTGTGGAAACAATCATTCATTGGATCGTGATCAAAAAGCAAAGGAACAGAATTATGGAGAGACCAACTTCCTCCTTGCTGTGTTCCCTCTGCTGCTTTTGGGGTAATTATGATGTGTTTCTGCATTCCGGAATTTAGGGAAAAGAAGATGGGGGAGGGAAGCGAAGCCCTTCGGTGGTTTTGACTCACAAGAAATGCATATTTATTCACAGAGAGGTCTGTCCCTGTTACTATTCAGAACCCCAACAATACCGTGCTCAGCAGCTGGAATGAACCGGGGACTGGCCCAGCAAATGCAGGGTGCAGAGGGACATTGGGTCACATTGAGCTGACCGTGCTGATTATTACTTTTTTTGAGCAAGGAAATATGTGCTGAAGTAAAGGTGCTCATGGCTACCTAAAGACTTGCAAATCTCACTAGTAATCTGCTGAGCATTAGTGATCTTGGGTGAGTTAAATCGTATTGTGTTGAGGCTTTTACATCTTGAGGGAAAAGCTGATCTGTTATTCCGGTTTGATGGTGAGATACTAAAGAAACCATTGTTTAGGCTGACAGCTCTATAAACGGTTGTGAGAATTGTTAACCTGATTCTTCTGGCCTGTGCTGGTAGAAATTAGTAGTTACTGAGTGCTATTGGGTGTCTTGTGGCCTTGGAAATGAAATTGTGGATGGTTTTTTAATGTAGCACATTTTCCATGTTCTTGTAGATACATTTTTTCCTAAGCTTAGTTTACTCTGTTCTTAAGCCTGTTTTACCCATCCTTGATCTGATCCATTGTTATCCAGATTCAGAATGGCTTTTCAGCAGCATTGCATACCCGAGCACAAGACAGAAGGAATGGGCAGGAGACCTTTTCCTTAAAGCTGGGGATCCCTCCAGGAGGCACCAGCCCTCAGTGAGGAGTCCATGCTTTGTTCATTTGTGCCAGAGCCCTCGGGCTGTCAGACACTGAGCACCCTTTCATCCCTGTGACTTCAAAGTGCTGCTCAGAACTGGGCAGAACAGGCTTTGAGTTAGATCTGTAATTGAAATGGATTTATTAGGCTGCTCTACCTCATCTTTTCAAAGCAGGTTGTGCATAACCTTACAGCAAATGGATGTGTGTTCAGGTAGAGCATGGTCTCCTGTGGAATTACTGCAGCTCTTTTCAGCTTTCCATAAATGCACCTTCCTGGAATCCCATTTGAGAGGTGAATGAAACACTTCCTTATCTCCCATTACATATAGTTCAAGAATATTCAAGGTTCTCAAAGCATGGAAAGTGAATAGTTTCATTACAAAGTTGGCCATAGTGTTTTTGACATGGCCAGCAGATTTCACTGCCTTTATCCAGAGGAGCTGAGAAAACTGTGATCAAAAAGCCAAACCTGGAGTTGTATTCTGGTGGTGCAGCTGCCTCACTGACAAAGGATTTTCAAAGTTAAAAGCATGACTTGCTTCAGTCTGAGTTAAAAATCCTACCAGCAGAGCTCTTGCTGTGATGGACGGGCAGCCTCTGATGATAGCAGGGCTCTGACCTGGTGCTGGCTCTGGCTGGGATGGAGACCCGACCCAGCAGCCTGGTTGGTGCTGTGTTTGGGATCTAGAGCAGTGTCCCCTCACCACGGCAAGTGACACGCACGTGAGGGCTAATGTTCAATCACATGTTGCTAGGAGCAGCTCTCTGAGTACTCCAGGCTGGAACATTATGGTGGAAATTCAGTGTTTCTATGCAAGTTGTTAAAATGTAAGGCAGCCTTGTTGCCCGGGGTTGAGAGTGAGGCGTGTGAGGGTCTGGCTTCCGTGCCCTGCACTGAGCAGCCCCTCTTGGGTTTCACCCATGAGATTCCTGGAGAATATGTAATAGAGGAAAATTGCAGTTAGAAATAGTCAGGGTTGATCTTGAATATGTCAGGAAAGGAGTGGCTAACAATGCCACAGGTTCTTTAAAAACCCTATGAAACAACTTTGACATTTTCAGGATTTCAGCTGCTTGATACAGATACCTGTTAACCCCAGCCAGGCACTGGCTGAAATTGGTGGTGATGGAATGGCAACAATCAGCTGCAGCCAGGGTTGAGCTCTGGCAAAATAATCAAGAATTCCTCAAGCTGATAGTGAAGGAAAAAAAGGAGAAAAGAGAATCTGGGATCCATTACTTACAGGAAATTGGGAAAAGTATACATCTCACTGAGAAGCCAGGAAGCAAGTATGCACACGTATGTTCTTTCTGCTGAATATTCTTAGCATTCCCAATCCGTGAGAAGTTCCAAAAAACATTGATTTGACTCCAGTTCAGACTCAGTTTCTCTCAAGCAAAAAATGCTGCTCTTCTGCCAGATGTGTGAGCAGAGTCCCACCAGGAGCTAAGACAGGAAAGTTCCTGCTGGTGATGTTTGATGACCTGGCTCAGTCTAAAGCCATGTTGGGCAGGGCTGATGGCAGCACCGTGCCCTGGGCAGAGGGTTTTGCTCTGAAAGGGAATGTTTGCACCTTTACATTGAACCAGTTGCTTCTCAAAACCTCGGTCTGTGGCTTGGAGGGGTTATAAGGTTCCAAGTAGCAAAATAAAAAGCGTCTGTTGTTGTTTTACCAAAGGTGGTGTTTTTCCTTTGGAGGCTTTGCAGGTCTCCATGAGATGCCGAGTTCCCTCGGAGCTGTTTTGCAGGGGTTGCTAAGGTGATTTGGTGGGAAGGAAATGCACTGGTAATTTGCTGTTAAGTTGTTTACAGGAGAATATGAATGAAATTTCACCGCCCCCAGCAAGGCAACCGTCCCTCTCTGAGATTATTCCAGAAGGTTTCAGTAGAGAAGAAAATGACTGTACAAATGCCCAATTGGCCCCCCAAGGGTGATAAAATCCAATCTAGATGTCTGCAGGGCAGAGGCAGAAGCATTTTCATCTCATTTCACCTTTTCATCTTTTCAAACAGAATGTGAAACAGTTTAATTTTTGCTATCTTTTCTTGGATTGTTTTTAAATGTATTTCTACATGTGAATGGTTTGGTAAGTGTTTATTGGGGCTTATTAGTGTTCCAAAGTAGATATTTGCACTGAGTCATCACAAATAGCTTCAAAGCTATGAACGAACCCTGTTGCTTCCATGCAGCTTTCCTCCTGGAAAAACAAGAAAGTAGGACCAGTCTTTGGAGGGGGGAGAAATTCCTTCTTGACTCCAAATATCCGGGTTGCCTTATCTGGGGTACCAGCACGTGCTCAACATCCTGCCTTTTCCACTGACCAGTCTGCCACATTTTAGAAGGAAACAAAACTATGCCTCGTGGGGAGAAGGTTTGAAGAATGCATATTCTGAAAGCCTAGAGCCAATATAACATAGATCTCAGGTCTGTACATTCCAGAGGGGAGCTGTAGCAGGGACAGGCTGTTTGCCACTGTGCCATCAAGCTTTTACCTGGATTCTTCATTTCCTTCTGTACAACTGTTGTTTCAGGATGAACTGAGAGCAGATGATTAGGTGTGGATCTTCAGTTTGGGTTCCTGGCCTGGCAGAAGGATACAGTTGATTTACTGGCTGTTGACTTAACCTGTAAACAAACTGCTGGGGATTGTGGATGAATGTTTGCCCTCATGTGAGGACAAGCTCGGGGGGTGCCCAGGTCACAGCGCTCTGACTGACGCTTGTTAGAGCCAGGGGGTCATGTGAATGGACTTTGTCTGGCTTCTCCTCAGGCTGGGTGAACTTAGTGCTGGGATTTACTAACCCAAAAGACCTGGCTCCAAGTAAAAATGCTCAATAAACACCATGAGATATTTACTGCCCTCTGCACAGTGAGACTGAGCAACCTGAAAACCTGTCAGATTTTCACTGAAATCTCCCGAGCCTGCCCTGCATGTACCTTGTCTGCAATCTCTCTAGTTAAAATACATTTCCAAACCTTCTGAATTCTTCTATTCTGTTTGCTTTCATATTCTCTTAGTTTGCCTTTCTCTGTTACTCTTACTTTTAATGCAACTTTGAAAGACAAAAGCATTCTCATGTCTAAGCCTTGACTTCCCAGACATCAGATGGATTTCCCCCAATGTTCTGGCCACAATGGTGATATTTAGACTTTTAATGAAGAGGTGAAGAAAGGCAAAACTAACTCAGTACTTTTCTGATCAGAAACACAGATGCTGTGACTTTGCAGGTGAGATATTAAATAAGCCCTTTACTGAATTAGTAATATTCACCTGTTCTTATCTTTTTGTGCAAGTCCTTATCAAGG